TCCTTTCGTACCGACTTATAGTGAGATGTTTTACATCTCATACAAATCTCCTTGTTTGCATCATCTCCCTAGTACAACATATAGTTGTTTGGGCATGCATCTATCTTCTTGTAGTTTAAGCCAAGCTTGTTAATAATATTCTTTGCTTCATAAAAAGATGGAGGGAATTCAGCTTGAGGAAAAGCATCTCCCAATAATTCCAATAGCATGGATATCGCCTTGTCGGTCATACCACACAAGCATTTGATATGATACAATGTCACCAAGAATGACAACTTAGAATACTTTGTGCACCCAGAATAAAGAGGCTTATTAGCTTCCCTCATGAGGTCAAAAAATTCCTGAGCAGTTTCATTTCTAAGAAACTCCGGTTGAGGCCCCTCTACATCATCTTTGTTGGGATCCTTACTTTCACTAACGCCATAAGCATTGCACATAGCATCGTTCACGACATCAGCTTCTTCTACTCGAACTCCCATCCATGAAACTATTAGAACTGACTTAGCAACCATATCTGGTCATTCCCCATGTATTTACCAAACTATATATTCTCACGGGAAGGGCTTAAAGATCAAATGTTCTCTAACAATATCTCTAGGATGCCACTTCTTGCAATTATATTTAGGACATGGACACTGAATCTTACCGTTTACGGCGGCATCAACAAAAGCAAAATCCAAGAAATAGTTTAGACTAGCCAAGTATTACAGAGTTGACCGGTGCAAGTTGATCCATGAAAATCCAAGAAATAGTTTAGACTAGCCAAGTATTACAGAGTTGACCGGTGCAAGTTGATCCATGACCTATCCATCACTAATGTTGCTTAAATTTCATGAACATATGACATGGGAAGCTCAAAGAGAAATTAAAATGAATTTCAGGTAGAGTTCTGAAGCTTAGAAAGAAGGCTGCCAACGGATAGATAACGGTCAAATTTTTTACCGGTTTTAAACCGCTAGAAATTTCTAGCATTTAAAAACATTTTCCAGCAGTTTTAATCGATAGAAATTTCAATTCATAAGCATTTTCTAGAAGTTATTGCTTTTAAACCGCTAGAAATTTGAATTTGCCAACTGTTATTCATTTTCTAGGGTTTTTAACCGCTAGAAATGTTTTTGCCAACTGTTATTAATGTTCCAGTGGTTTATAACCACTAGAAATTTCGAGGGGAGGGAAATTTGAATTTCTCTGTAACAGTGTGACTTTTCTAGCGGTTATTAACCACTAGAAAGTGCCAATTACAATATAAAATTTCTTCCAATGAATGTCATTTACCTTTAAAAAAAAACTTACCAAAAATATTATTTTTAACTATAATTTATGTTAAAATAAAATTTAGTTACTATTATACTTCTCATTCTAAGAAATTCCTAAATTGTATTTTTACAGTTACATCAATTTTATTCATTTCAGCCTAATTATTTTGGCCCAAAAGACTTTAACCCAATTCAATTTTTAGTTTCATGCAATAAATTGATATTCATTAAATTAAATTTTACAAAAATAATAAAATAATAAATAGGTATTAAAAGGTATAAATAATATATGTATGCAAAAAATTAAAAAAACTCCATGATATGTTAAATATTAAAATACATATTACAAGACAGAATTTTAATGTTAAAAGGATATATGTTTAACATGTTTTATATAGTGCAACAATATATTAATTAATACTTGGTATAAATAAAATTATAGAAATAAATAATAAAAGTAAACAAATAAACATAAACTTTAAATAAATATATACATAAAACATAACATAATAAAATCCAAATCCAAATAAAATCCTATACAAGGAAAACAGGGGAAATCGGGGGTGAGGAGCACAAGCAGCATCATCATGATCGTCGGGCGCTGGATCCTCCTGCTGGTTCTGCTGGAGGTGAGCAGATTGCTGATCGTGTTGGGACTGGATTGGCCGCTGGTCGTGTAGGGGCTAGACTGGTGGCAGGCGCATATCAGGGACCTCAGGAATCGGGATGTTTGGAACGAAATTGATCACCACATCGCGCAGGGCCATAACAGCTGCCTTCAACTGGTCAAGCTATAAACGGAACTAACAATGACGCTCCTCCATCTTGGCCTTTATCTCTAGCTTGATCTCCTGTCACAGTTTGTTTACAGATGAGGAACCCAGCCGCTTCACTCCTGCGCTCGCCTAAGAGCTCCCCGCAGTGTATGAAGGGCCAGCGTTGAAGGGAATTGAAAGACGTGCAACGGAAATAAATTTAAAAATTTCAATCCCTTGCCCGGATCTACCGATCGTGTTTAAGTCAAGTAGTAAGAAGCATTACCTTCGATGTTCGGTTTCTTGGTGGCTCGGTGATTCCGCCGTTCAGGATGCCTCTGCTCGCCTCCTTTGTCGTTCGAAGTCGACGACTCCGGTCGGCTTCCTCTACCGATATCCACACGAATAGCTCTCCAGTCACGAACAACGTGCTAGCGCCTCTTTGTCCGTCTAGGGTTTTTCAAAGAGTCCATCCTCCTTCTCTATTTTTTTTGGCCGTCTCTTATCTGCAAGTGTTTGCACTCTCTCTCCTAAAACCCTAGCTCCTAATATCAAATATATAGGATGCTATAGGTATTATGAATGATATTTAATTTCGAAATTAATCCTAAATTAATTCTGAAATTAATACAATATCAAATATTGCCTAATCAGATAAGAGAACAATTAAATAAATACGGTTTATATTAAATTCATCTCACAGATTTAATTCACCTATTTATTTAATTCAAAATAAAGATATGACGGAATTAATTTACATAGATCTAATATATCCTTATAAATTAAATCTAACAATTAATATCTCTTATATTTATATAATATGTGTATATATATACGAATTTATATATATATATACACGTCCACCCTACATTATTCATTGAATCTGGACATATCTTAGATTCAATGAATTTGGACATCATAACTCGTGTTGGGCTATTTTGTGTGCGACCTTGTAGGCCCATATGAAGTTGGCAGTGGACCATTAACTATAATGACTCACAAGTCGTAAGCGGTCTCTAGCAAGACATCACGACTACCCAAATCATATGAGGATCGTTGAACGATGTAACCTTTCATACAACCATATCACGTCCCTTTTTGTCACACGACATTTTGGTCATGGATGAGGCATGGAGAACGTCATCCTCCTATTCATGACCGTTACTTTCTCGATCTCTGAGTAGTCTGAGTATAGAAATGGAACTACCTTTCCATTATAGTATGGCCATACTTTTCTCAGACTCACTCATCGAGGGGCCCAGTAATATCTCTCTACGAATGTGAGGGACAAATTCCATCTTGACCATTCACATTCCTCTGCATGAAAAACCACTAAGCCTGAACATAGTCTTTATGATCACTCGGTCAAAAGTGACTTTTGACTAGGTCAAAGCTAAGCGTTTGTCATGTAGGAATCCATGATGATCTCAGGTCAAAGGGCACAGTGACATGGTTTGTATATGAGAGAAGCTTATGACTTAACCCATGCAGCTCTCTCATAGCGAGTCGGTCCAACACCTTGTACTCTTACATATGCCTATGACTTTAATTTATATCTCTATATATCTTTAAAGTCATACTGGTCTTATTTCATCTCTGCTCCCACATAGATGACCGACCAGGGACATTTAGGATAAATCATGAGTTATCCAAGGATAGTCATCACAGTAAACATGCAAATAATATGATAACATAATTAATAAATTCATAAATCAACAATGTTCATAACATAATGATTGGCCCCTAGGGCACAATTTCCAACAAGCGCAACCTATGCGGGGCAACCTAGTTAGTGTGGGTCAAAGACCGAGCCCACTAACTAGACCAAGGTGTTATGCTCAGCCATGTCCCACTAAAAGTGAGGCGGTGGGATCCAAGGTAGATCCCTAAGACTCCCGCAGCTTGGTATTGACCTGAGTCATCCGCGCCTATCAAAATTAATATTAAAACATTAATTAGTATGAAATAATATTTATACTACGATATGATATTAACATTTAATTGATTACTTACAGCTATCTCCTTAACCTCATCAAAAGCAGGAGACCCGTCTCGAGGCTTGTACAGAGTCAGCCACATCTCGCCATAGGTGGGTGTGTATCCCCGCTCCTGCCGCGTCTTTTCCCTTTGTAAATGAAATGGAAGAAATTATTGATTACAAATTAAATACATATACACATTTAACAAATTCTTTTCAAGTACTTACAATCTCTTCATAGGTGATAGCAAAACTCTTGGATCTAGCCCTATGACGTATTGTTTGCCACCTGACGCTCCCATTATTTCTTTGGGAAAGAGCTTAAAACAAAATGTAAAAGAATTTAATTGGTCAAATTGGAAAAAAAAATAAAAATAATAATAATTAATGCAATAATATCATACCATCTGGTCAGTCGATATCCTAAAATAAACATAACTCGACCAGTCTTGCTCCAAGGCTTCACCAGGTATATCTGCCAGTATCTTCTACAAGGACCTCGTCCTGTCACTTTTCTTCTCCCGCCACAAGTCAGCCCTCCAACTCTTCTATGCCACCCCAAGTCTCTTGATCATATCCGCCCTCAACTCCTCTCCCAGTATAAATTTACTCTGTAATTAAAAAAAATAAAGAATTATATTCACTTCGCTAATATAAATAAAAAATAAATTAAATAAATAAAAAATTATAATCAAACAATTAAGCAATTCAAACAAAAATATATATTTATTTAACTAATTTAAAAATATTACAAATAAAAAATAAATTACATCAATAACAAATCATAATCACACAATTAAGTAATTTAAATACAAATATATTTTGGGAAAATGACATTAAAATACCACTTGAATTTTAAAAAGACAAATAAGGTACCTGAATAAGTAAAATGACAAATAGGTTACTGGGTACCAATTTGGAATTCATATTTTCGGCCAAAAGACCGAAATGCCCTTATCAGTGAGGTAAAATGAAGTGAAACTGAAATGAAAATAAAGATGGAGCACCAGTTGAGCACATGAAGAAGGAAAGAGGAACGCTGGAGGAACACATTAGAGCTGAAAAGAGGTAAGTTTAAGTCGGTAGTCTTTGGAAATGGTATAATCTTACTCCTCCGCATCATCATTTTGTTGGGATTGCTGATTTAATAGATTTTGGTTGTGGGCAAGAGGGTTTGTAGCAAGAGAGAGAGTGAACATGTCGCATTAAGTGATGGTGGGGTTTGGGTAGTTTCTTTTTGTGTCTACTTTATGGCGCGATGGTGGGGACGGGTGTGCTGGAGATGAGGTTTTATACTTTATATTGACTATTTCGAATGACGTAGCGGAAATCAAAAAAGGTGGCAAGCAATTACGTAGGCGTGAAGTTTGCGTTCAAGTAGTGAACGTTGTTAAAATCAATAATGGAGTTGTGAAACCCTATAATAAAGTTGCGAATAGAAGAAAAGTTTCTCTCTTTGTGTGTGTTTTGGGTGTCATGTACGTTGATGGAAACTAATTGGCGGAGAAGTTAATTTTTTTTATTTAATGTTGTTTGCTGCAGGTTAGCAAGTGGTGATGTCTTGTAACATTGTATCAACATCTTCAAAAAGACTTGCTTGTTATTTTCACGTAGATGGGAAGTTTGTGGAAAATGACGATGGCGAAGTTAAATACTGTGGTGGGACTGTTAGAGTAAGAGTAATAAAGGAGGGTACAAAACTTGAAGATTTGAGGGCAATGATAGGAGAATGGTTCAGCATGGATTGTCATGGCTGTGACATTAAATACGCTTTGAGTTTTGATGAGAGGGTATTGGTAGATCTTATAGATGATGGTGAAGTTGATAATCTATTTGAATATAATGACCGTAATGCACATATTTATATAGCACATAAAGGTAATGACAATGTGGAGGAAGGAATGGGTTATCCAGAAACGTAAGTGAGAAATTTTTTTTTGGTGGTTATGAAAGTTGATAATTGTTGTAATATTGTAGTAAATCTCTTAATAACAGTGGTAATTATAAATGCAGGATCTCAAGAATGGTAGGACTGTCAGAACAGAGTGATGAGCCTACGTTGGAGGGAAATGCTTTGGAAAGTACAAGTTCTGGAGGCAGTGAAAGACCTAATGTAAGCCTACCATACGGAGTAGTGAGTGCACCTACACCTTTGCCAGAGGTGAATTCTTTGAAATGGAAGGAATTGTTGTTAGGACAGAACTAGACTTTTACAAATGCAGAAGATTTCAAGAAGAAACTACATAAGTTCAGTATTGCAAACAAGTTTGAGTACAAGTATGTGAAAAATTGTAGGGAAAAAATGTATGTGAAATGTAGTGTTAAAGGTTGTCTGTGGAGGATAAGTGCAAGAGTGGGTAGAAAGAGTACTCCCTTTTTACGTGTGGCAACATTCATAAATGAGCATGTTCATAATGCACAAGACAATCTTCGTGTGGAACATTGTAGTTCAGCTAGCTTGATAGCATCAATCATCATAGATGAGGTAAATGATCACATAGACAGGCGTCCAAATGATATAAGGAAGACTTTGGAAAGAGATTATGGTGTGAAGTTGACATATAAACAAGCATACAGGGCGAAGCAAAAAGCTTTAGAGGACATACATGGCAGGCCTGACCAGTCTTATATGCTTATTCCGTGGATATGTGAACGGTTGAAGGAAACAGATAACAAAACCGTGGCCAAATGGGTAGGTAATACTAATAACACATTTGAGCGTGCATTCATAGCATATGGGTGTTGTATAGAAGGCTTTATAGCTGGTGCTAGACATGTACTGTACATTGATGGATGTCATTTAAGTGGACCGTATAAGGAGACGTTACTGTTGGCGTCTGCTTATGATGCTGACAATGAATTGTTACCTTTTGCGATTGCTATTGTAAAGGGAGAGACACTTGAGGATTGGACATGGTTCTCATATATGATTAAGGAGATAGTTGGCTCAATGGAATTGACAATTGTGTCAGATCGACACAATGCAATAATAGGTGTCGTGCAAGCAATATTTGGTGGTGAGAGGCATGCATACTGTTACAGACATGTTAAGGAAAACTTCAGTGCACAAATGATTAAATTAAATAGAGGAAAGAGGAAGACAAGTGGGAAAGCAAGGGAGGAGAGACTGCAATACCTGGATGCCATTGCATATGCAAGGCTTGACACCGAGTTTGATGGTGCAATGGATAACATGAGAAAGTTCAATCCACAATTATTTGAGTGGCTTCTTAATCATGGTGATGTTGAAAGGTGGGCTTTAAGTAAATTCCCATTTAAACGGTGGGATAACATCACAACAAACCTTGCTGAGTCATTCAATGCTTGGATGTTGAAAGAGAGACGATATAATGTTGCCCAACTTATACATGAGCATCGTGAGAAAGTGGCATGCAGCAAGCATAGCAATGAGTAATTGGAAAAATGGTGTAGGCCCAAACATAGATGCAAAATTGGTGGACAATATTGCTAGATCAGCATGCATGTTGAGTGTACCTTATGGAGGAGGTAGGGTGTGTGTCCATACAGCAAAAGGAGCTGTACATGTTGATCTTGGTGTAGGCGAATGCACCTGTGCAGCTTGGCAAATGTCAGGCATTCCATGTCCCCATGCCTGTGTAGCTATTAAGGCTATGAATTGCAATGTGTATGATTTTGTTGATGAATGCTACAAGATTACATCACAGCAAAAGATTTATGGCAGGACTATGATTCCAGTGGCGACAGTAGACATGCCAAATCCTAACAATTATTGGGTGGAAAATATAGGAAGTCAAGTGTTCTTGGCACCGCCTTTGACTAATCGACTGCCAGGAAGGCCTAAAATAAAAAGATGAGAGTCACAGTTCCAGAATAGGAAGATCTACCATTATAGCACATGCCAACAAGTTGGGCACATAAGAAGAACATGCAAGAATCCAAACCCAAGTTGAAGTTAGATGTCAATAGATATGGTGATTTTTTGGTGTAAATAGTGTTGCGTGAATGGTAAATTCCATTGCACGTGTAGTGTAGTTAGTATGAAAGTTATGGTTTAATGTTTACCGTGCTGTACTTGAGGTGCAGTCATTTGAATATATGTAATGCATATGCTGTCATATTACTGCTGGTTTTTGGTAAATACTGTTGCATGAATGGTAAATCCCATTGCACGTGTAGTTAGTATGAAAGTTAACGGTTCATGTTTACCGTGATGTACTTGAGGTGCAGTCATTTGAATATATGCAATGTATCTGCTGTCATATTGCTGCATCAAATTGTATTGTTCATGGCAGAAAATCTACCCAGCCTGGCAAGAGGGTGCAAAACCCAGTATAAACGTAGTAAATACCACTGACAAAGTTGTAAATCCCACCCTGTGTTTTGCAAAATTCACCGCCGAGTTGTATGGTTTTGAAAACAAAGTTGGCCAGCCCAATAAACACAGGGATGCAAAACCCACTGTAGAAATAGTAAATGTCACTGTGAGAGTTGTAAATCCCTCCATGTGTTTTGCAAAATTCACCCCCGAGTTGTATGGTTTTGAACCTAAAGTTGGCCAGCCCATAAACGCAGGGATGCAAAACCCACTGTACAAGTAGTAAATCCCACTGTGAGAGTTGTAAATCCCACTATATGTTTAGTCAAACTCGGCGTGGAATTGTATGGTTTTGAACCCAAAGTTGCGCAGCCCAATAAACGCAGGGATGCAAAACCCACTGTACAAGTAGTAAATGTCACTGTGAGAGTTGTAAATCTGTCCATGTGTTTTGTAAAATTCACATCCGAGTTGTATGGTTTTGAAACCAAAGTTGCGCAGCCCAATAAACGCAGGAATGCAAAACCCACTGTACAAGTGGTAAATCTCACTGTGAGAGTTGTAAATCCCACTATGTGTTTAGTCAAACTCGGCGTGGAATTGTATGGTTTTCAACCCAAAGTTGCACAGCCTAATAAACGCAGGGATGCAAAACCCACTGTACAAGTAGTAAATCTCACTGTGAAAGTTGTAAATCCCACTATGTGTTTAATCAAACTTAGCGTGGAATTGTATGGTTTTGAACCCAAAGTTGCGCAGCCCAATAAACGCAGGGATGCAAAACCCACTGTACAAGTAGTAAATGTCACTGTGAGAGTTGTAAATCCCTCCATGTGTTTTGCAAAATTCACATCCGAGTTGTATGGTTTTGAAACCAAAGTTGCGCAGCCCAATAAACGCAGGGATGCAAAACCCACTGTACAAGTAGTAAATCTAACTGTGAGAATTGTAAATCCCACTATGTGTTTAGTCAAACTCGGCGTGGAATTGTATAGTTTTCAACCCAAAGTTGCGCAGCCCAATAAACGCAGGGATGCAAAACCCACTGTAAAAGTAGTAAATCTCACTGTGAGAGTTGTAAATCCCACTATGTGTTTAGTCAAACTCAGCGTGGAATTGTATGGTTTCTGAAAGGAAGGTTGCCTAGAGAAAAACAGAAGGTTGCAATACCCATTACACAAGTTGTAAAAATCACTGTGAAAATTGTAAATCCCTCCATGTGTTTTGCAAAATTCACTGTCGAGTTTTACCGTTCTAGGACGAAGTAGCACAGCCCAATCAGGATAACGGTTAGAAAAGCCACTAAACAAGTAGTAACACTCACTGTAAAAGTTGTTATTTCCACTATGCGTTTTGTCAAACTCAGTGTGGTATTTGTGTTTTTGTTGAGGAAAGTTGCCCTGCTTCTCAAAACAGTTGTCAAACCCCTTGAAGAAGTGGTAAAATTCACTTCTACAGTTGTAAATCTCGTCACATTTGTTGTAACAATTTAGGAAAATGGTTTAACATTACTTGAAAATGAGGCACCTTTACAATCCCTGAAAATATTTTGCAAATTCTCTTCCATACATAACTTTAACTAACACATCATTAAACTTAGACAACGTAATTTAGTGCCGTGATGCGCGCTGCTTTTTCCTCGGTGTGGGTTCTGCGGATGACAGCAAGTTCAATGCTTCTTCACGTCTTGAATTGAGCTCATGATTAACAAGCCACCATTAGGTTTCGTCGAAATCAGCAACATGTTCTTCACTGTACTCAAGCGTCACATCGGGCTCCTATTTGCTCAACCAAATTAAAACATGAACGCCACAGTCTCGCCTACACATGGAAACAATGTCCATGAGTGAAACACGAACTAGCATTCATACATTATTACATCAACAACTAATACCACTCACAGATTGTTCTGTTGAGGAACAGGGGCCCAAATAATGTCACTCATCTGCTTCTTCCTAATGGTATTGGGCTTTACAATCTCAATCATGTCATAAAATCGATCCCTTTGCACAACACATACTTGCATTTGTAAATAATTTGGTAAATAAAGAGCATGTTACACAAGAAAAGTAACAATATTCTTACACATCCGGTCACCACAATCATGATATCATCATCAGCTACACCTTTCTTCTTACTCTTCTTAGCAGGAAAACTTGGCTTCATTGAGTCCAGCACATAGAAATTCATTATCTTAGGCTCAAGCACAAGACAAAACCAGTGGGCACCAACAAGTGTAGGTCCAAATATCAAGTCACAGTCTCCTATGTTGTAACCGACATATTCAGGCAGCAACTGCTTTTCTCGTTTTCTAGCATCCCACCGAGATGGGTTCGCAGCTAGTATTGCCTGTAGCATCGAATGATTAGTCATATAGCAGTAATTATTTTGTATTCATCTTAGTAACCTTACCATAAAGTCAGCATCAAATATGTGTCGCTTGACTTCTCCTTCGCTCTTTATATCAGCCAGTAAAGTCTTGCACACAACTGACATAAGCTGTTTGCAAGTAAATTTTAGTTTTTCGCACAGGTATACATGAGCATCAAATATAAATTTATAGTACTCAGCCCAAGATCACAATACTAACTTACCCGGTTACCTATTCTCTCAATTCCTCCAAGTGTCCTCAGCTGATCTCGAGTGATATCCTCATCAGATATTTTAACTAAAGGCCTAAAAATGTGTTCCCAGTATCATTATGTGTGTAGTTAATCAGTAAACAACCGATGAGTACTATCATTCACAGTCATGAGAATAGTAACTTACACGTCACCCTCCTGCCTTGAACACATGCGGGATATCATGTTAAAAAACTTGTCCTTTTCCTCCATATTCCTCTTCTTCCTCTTAACAGGCATCGTCAAAATCCATGGAGAATTTATGGCCGACTTCACCTCCCTCTGTGA